TAAAAGACGATATCTCCGTTTGCATTGAACTTTCAGCTTCGTAACTTTGCAGATATTGTTTATGCTCAAACAGCAACATTACACACTAACTAACGTTAATAAAGTGAAATCGCAATGAACCACCCCTTTAATATTGAGGAACAAACTTGGTGTGTTTTTATTTTAAATTATTACATTATACTCCCAAACAAGTAAAATATAATTAAATATTTTGATATGATTATTATTTAATACACATATTTAATATAATTTTAATAAACAGAAAAATATAAATTAATAAAAATATAATTTATTATAATCCTATAATATTAAAATATAATATTACATTATTTTAATAATTATAATTTTGCCGTTTTTTGTTTTGCCTTAACATATTTCATAATATGAAGATGTTTTTGCAGCATTTTATTTCACTAGATTATCCCAAAATATCCACAAAAAGATTGATACTTAACCTATAAATCATTTATCTAAAAAAACAAAAAACAAATTAAATTACTAAAACTTTAACTAAAATTAAATGAATATGGAAAGTATGAAAAAACTAACAAAAGTGTCTCAATGATACACAATGGTTGTGATTAATAAATTGTAATTCCAAATTACATAATTTTATTTAATTATAATTTAGGAGTCTTTTGCTTTGAGCTCACATATTTGTATGCAGTATTTAATCTTACTGAATTATTCCAAAACAGGCACAAATAGATTGATATTTAATCTATAAACCATTTATAGACCCTTTTAAAAATAACAAAAAATGCTAAAAATGACATGTTATTAATATGTGATACCGCGGTGCACCTGGTGAGAAAGTTTGGGGTCATAATTGTGACCCTGGAGCACAAAAGCAGTCTTAAGTCGCTGGGGTATATTTGTAGCAATAGCCAACAATACACTGTATGGGTCAAAATTATCCATTTTTCTTTTATGCCAAAAATCATTAGGATATTAAATAAAGATCATGTTCCTCACACACACTCTCTCACACACACTCTCACACACTCTCTCACACACACTCTCACACACACACTCTCACACACTCTCACACTCACAGACACTCTCACTCTCACACATACACTCACACAAAAATTGACACTTAAGACTGGTTTTGTGGTCCATGGTCACAAATGTTTTTTTAAGTTTTTGAAAAAAGTCTGTTCTGTTCGCCAAGGTTGCATTCATTTGATCAAAGAACGGTAAAAACAGTAATATTGTGAAATATTATTACTACTTAAAATAGCGGTTTTCTGCTTTAATTTTGCAGAAGTGGACATGCTGATAGAAGGCGAGCGTGAATCACTGGCTGGCGGTTTGATGCTATCAGGTTTTGGCGAGTAATAACTGCCTCTGTGACTCCACATTAAACATTTACATACAGTCTGGAGCCGATAGTCATCTAAACACACACACACACACACACACACACACTCACTCTCACGCACGCACTCGCACTCTCAGACGCACGCACACTCACACTCACGCACGCACTCGCACTCAGACACACACACACACACACACACAGACACGCTCACACTCGCACGCACGCACGCGCCACACACCCACACACACACACACACAGCACTGGAGAACAAGAGCAGAAGGACAGTTACGTTCACATCGGCTCCTTTAGACAGCAGAAACTCCAGCATCTCGGCCTGACCGCTGTCTGCAGCGTAATGAAGCGGCTTGCGGCCTCCTTCCAGAGTCCTGTTCACATCCTCAGCCTGCACAACAACACACAGCACACCGTTACATTACAAGAACAAACACTACTTCAGATTTAATATGAGGATAGGATACTTTAGTCATTATAAATATATTAATATTGAATATTATATTTATTATTATTAAAGATTATACTATCCAATATCATTAGTAGTTTGTTTGTTTATTTATTTATGTTATTATAACAAATTATATCATCTAATGGGGTTAGGGTTCATCATTAGGTAGCACTGATTAATAATATTTATTATTCAATATAATTATATTATATACTGAATAATTCAATAGAATTATATAATTTTTTAATATTTTAAATATGATTTAGGATACATTAGTCATTAAAAATAACATTGAATATTAAACTTATTATTCAACAATTATATGATTATGTTGAATACTGATTTATTCAATATAACATTTTAAATTTTTTTGTATGATTTAGGATACTTTAGTCATTATAAATAATACTGAATATGAAATAATATTATACCATTCTATTATTTTTTATTATTATTATGATAATATTTAATTACATTATCTAATGGGGTTAACATTCCCCATTAAATAGAATTTAATAATATTTAATATTCAATATAATTATATAGTTATATTGGCTAATGAATAATTTAAAATTTAACAATTATATAACTTTTTAAATATTTTTATATGATTTAGGATACTTCAGTCATTATGAATAATATTGAATATTAAATAATATTATATTATATAGAGTTTACTATTTAATATTTATGTATTTTTTATCATTATAATAATACTGAATATTATGCAATATGATTTTAGGGTAAATATAATAATAATAAACAAATTCTTATACAAAAATTAATCTTAATATTATTTAATATAATTTTATTAATATAATGTAGGAGCGTTTTGTTTTAATCTAAAATGTTTCATAATTTGAAGCATTATTTCATTCACTGAATCATCCCAAAATAGACATAGACAATTATTTAATCTATAAAATCACAAAACACACAAACAACATCACCTGATCATCTGAAGTCATCCATTAGACCTTATTCAATTGTTCAGATTATGTTTATTTAGTTAATTGCTTTTATTACATGTTTTGACACTTCACTTTTTTACACTATTTGTGCCATTAATATTTTCATTGTGTAATAATCACTCCACTGTGTCTCGTATCTAGCTGTGAGTATTTAACACGAACCTCAAGGGTTTAACTGCTTAAGTCTGATGATGAGCAGCACATTCACACAGCAAACCATCATGTGAACCTGCTGCGAGTGTGAACTGAGGTAAACCGCTGAGCTAAACATATCACACACACACAAACGACAAAACACTCAACACTGAATGAGCAGCTCCAGATCTGCAGCTCCACTCTCATCTGATGGGTTAAAGTTACGCTGTAAAGTGATGATAAAGGTGAGATATTCTGAGGCTGACAGAAACGAAACCACACGACTCTCCATTCAGAAGCTGGAGCCCAAAGCACCTGCGGCTTCCTGCCCACATCCTCAAACCACACGCACGCACGCACGCACGCACGCACGCACGCACGCACACACGCACGCACACACGCACACACACG